CCCAGGCAGCCTCTCCCAGCACTGCTGCCCTGCCTGCACCGGGGCAAGCTGCCTTCAGAGCAGCTCCCTCTGAGCCCTCCTGCAGCCCGACCCCCCCGAGGGCAACCCGGAGCTCCCCGAGGGGACACAGCCCCTGCAGCCCCAACGCCAGGGCTGGGGGAAGCAGGGACGGGGGCAGAGGGTGGCACCACCTCCCAGAGCTCAGCCCAGCCTGGGCCCTGGCAGGACCTTCCCCCAGCCCTGGGCTGGGTTTCTCCCCCTGCCCCCTCTCCTTGCCCACCCGTGGGCCCTTCGACGCCTCCCAGGAGTGGGGGCACCCGAAAAACGTGCCCAAAACTCCTCCCGAGGCAAGAAATCATCTTGTTTGCAAGGCAGGGCGGGGAAGAGCAAAGCTTTTCATCAGAGTTCACTTACCCTCCTCATCGTCAGGGGCTGTGGGTGCTCCTGGGGTCGGGGTCTCCCCCTCTCAGGGCTCCTTCCCAGCCCAGCACGGGGGGCTGGGCATGTCCTGCAGGTCCCAGCAGCCCTGGAGACCCTGCAGCTGGCTCAGGGCACCGTTCCTGCCCTGCCAGGACCTGCTGAGGTCTCGCTGGAAGGAGAGGTGGGTTATATAGAAAATCCCAGGGCTCTGCCCCAGCCCAGCCCTGCAGCCAATGGGCGAAGCGTGGGACGGGGATGGAGGAGGAGGAGGAGGACGGGAGGAACGTCGGAGAGCTCTGGGAAGGAGAGGAAAATAATAAACAAACCACCCTCGGGGGGAGGGAGGGAGGGATGGAGCTGGGGGAGCAGCATGCCCCCTCCACACATCCCAGTGCCAGGCCTGGAGGAGCCTCGTGGCTCTGCTGGGGTGGAGGAAGCTGCAACCCCAAACACCTCTGGGGAGAAGAGACATCAAAACCTCCCCTGCCCGGGGTGGGCAGAGCCAGCTGCTCCACATGGAGCCTCTGGAGCACTGCAGGGGAGGCAGGGGGGCTCTGCAGTGTCCCTGCTAGCAGAGAGGAGGGACTCCCACGATCCCAGCGTGGTGGGGTTGGCAGGAACCTCTGGAGATCATCTCATCCACCCCTCCTGCTCCAACAGGGTCACCCACAGCGGGCTGGACGAAAGGGCAGGGTATAAGAAGGTCCTTCCTGAGGTGCTGGGGAAGGACCAGCCTCATTTCCTGCCCCCCCAGCAGTGTCCCCAAGCCCTGCTCGAGGTGCAGCAGGCTGGGAGCAGGTTTCAGACCGTGCCCCCATCTACCAGAAGCTGCACTGGTGGCTTCCCACAGCCCAGCTCTGGTTCTCCTTTTGCTGTGGCCTCTGAGCATCCTGAGCTGCCTGAAGAGCAGCACCCCATGGCCAAGGTTGGGCCTCTCCCAACCTCCTGGGCTCAGCTGCTTGAAGAAGAAAGTGTCTTTCCTCCCCCTGCTGAGGACCTGGCTGTCCTCAGGAGCAGGTTTGTTTGGTGGGTGGTAGGTTGTTCGTTTAAAATCACCTTGTCCTGGGGTCCTTTGATGGCCCAGAAGTGTGTTGGTGTGGTGCAACTGTACTAGGGCTAGAGGAGACATGGAGGAGACCTTCTTACTCTCTACAACCACCTAAAAGGAGGTTGTGGTGAGGCTGGTGTTGGGCTCTTCTCCCAAATTACTGATGATAGAATGA